ATATAGAAATATATTTACAAGTCTAACCTGATTTTATAAATATGTTACATAATAAAGAAATAGGATGAACATACCCAATAAGATAACGCCCTAATAACTATATATTTCCAAGACGATACTTGGTTCAATAAAAGTGAGTTTTAAACTCAATACAATAAAAGCTCTAGGCTTGTACAAAAATAATTACAACAGTAAACAAAATGAAACTCTTGCTTCAAATCCTCCCAAGCTATTGCTGTGGCTGAGACATATCATCAGCATTTGAAAGTGGTTTTTCACATAGGGTGAGCCAAAACTCAGTAGAGATACTATAACATAGTTGATGAATCTTAACAAAATTATAAGGTGAATGCATATGCAATGCTCATGATAAACATTTTATATCTCTTTCTAAAATCATGTAATACCAGGTTTATATCACAATTCATAAAATGTTTCCTTTCAATAAAAAGCAAGACTGTGAAAACAACTCTATGAATCTCTAGATACGTGTCTGCAAGTAGACTATACAAGTACTACCAATTTATCATTTTTACTGATATTAACTAGAAGGCTCGACACCTATCTGCGCAGATTTCTAATCTTTTACTAAGGTTACATAGGCCAACTTAATATCATAAACACACTGCCACACTTTTGCTAAAACAAAATAGACAGAAACGTTATTTTTCTATTCAAAATGATTGTTCGTGAAACTTTTTTTATTTAAAAAATGAGAGGTGGAGGTGATAATTTATTATTCATCTAAGATTTTTCGATCAAATGAAAATGCCATTCTAAATTTTCTTCTTACCTTTTTTTATTCAAATACTTTTATTTTATAAGAAATTTATTTTTGTTCTATTTAAATATTTTATTGTTAATTTTTAAATAAAAAAATAATTTCTAAAAAATCATATTTAAATTTATTTATGCCATTTTAAAATTTAATTTTTTAATATCACTTATTCGATGATAACTTTCTAAAGAAAAATGCTTGGGACCTCTAATTAGAGGTACCACTAGTGATGTGGCAGTGGGTCCCACCCACTGCCACATCAGTGCTGTGTCTTTTTTTTTCTTTTTTCTTTTTTTTTACCTTTTCCACCTCATTAGAGGTGTGTTTAGAGCCTCTAAATTAGAGGTCTCTAGCATTGCCTTTTCTAAAGGTTTACTTTTTAAACATTTTCAAACAAAAAAAAATCTATTGGAAAAACTTAAGTATATTGCTTTTGCTTTTGTTCATTAATATTAATTTTTAATTAATTTTATTTATTATTTTTTAAAATATAGTAGTAATAATTTTATATATTTATCTATAAATTTTAATTCGATTGCTTAGGTTATTTGGTGTCTCTGCCTAAGTCCACTCAAATTTAATTCAAAATTTTGAATTTCTACATAGGTTCTCATCGAATTAAAATTATGTTACCCAAGCTTTATAAAATTATAGGCTTGACTTAAGTTGTTCGAGTTGAACTCGCCAAGTTTGTAGCTCTAACAAAAGGGTTGAAAGTTACATAATTGAAGTTGTGACAAATTAAAAATTGATACATAAATTGTGATAAAATTATGGAACTTAAATTGTAAGTTTCAATATTTTTTATTTTTATAATTTGCGTACAAAATTTAACTATTTATATTATTTTATATAAAAATATATTATTAATTTTTTCACATCTAGTGCATAATACAAGTTTACCACTAATTATAAAGATTTGAAAAAGCAATTTCACTTTCATATATGGAGCAATGTTTTAAGAATTGGACCGGACTGACCGGTTCAATTGGTAGAATCGGTGACCGGACCTAGTTCTAGTCCGAATGATCCACAAAAACTGGACTAGGCCAAAAAATGACCTTGTTTGCAAAAATCGGAAAAACTGGTGGTTCAACAGGTAAAATCAACGAACCGGTCACGGTTCTCGACCAACCCGGTTTGGTTTTTTTAAAATTTTTTTTTTTTTCTTTCTTTCTTTATTTCTTATATATTTATTATATATATATCAAAATTTTAATTAAAAACTCTTACTTCAAGTCTCCTCTTATGAGGGGTCTCATTGAAATCTTGAAGAAATTATAAAAGTCTATTCTTATTTATAGGAAAATTTGTTCAAAGAGAACTTAAAAATTTAATTTGGGATTCAATCAAATTGTTTGAATCATATTTGATTGGAGGGAGAGTTGAAAATTTCATTCAAAAATTAAATTTAGCATTCAATCAATTTGTTTGGAGGGAATGTTAATTTTTTTTAATTTCTTTAAAACTAGTGATTTTTTTTATAATCATATTGACTTTATTAAATATTATTAGTAAATATTATGCAGCATTTTTTTATTATTATTTCAGTAATTATATATATTTTATTTATTTATAATTTATAATTATTTTTTTATTATATACTATTAATTATGACGTCACGGCTCGACCTCTTCAACTCGACGGTTGAATCAGTGACCAGTCTATCCGGTCTCTTTTCTGGTTAGCTTACCGGTCTGATTTTCAAAACATTGATATTGAGATATTATTTTTTAATGAGTGATGATATAAAGATCTAATAGTAGAGCTCTAAAGACAACTCACTTATGCAGCAAAGTAAAAAAAAAAAAAAAATACAGCAGACAAATCAAAACAAAAATAATTGAAATTCTAATAAATGAATTCTAATGAGGTGATTCTACTATGATGTGATGTTTTGACTTTTATATATATATATATATATATATATTTTCTGCTGTCAAAATAAAAAAATGTATCGTTACTATAAAAAAAATTTAGGCCAAGTTTGGCAATACCAAAATAATCCATCTTTTTATCTTTTTTTATCAATCACCTCTTTACTTTTCTGCACATCTTTTCATAAAAAAATAAAAATACATTTATTTAGGTCATCCAAACAACCCTTTAATATAAACATCACATTAACATAAGGCCCATTACAATTAAAACTTCCTAGAACTACTTTTTAATAAAATCTCAATCATTTTTATTTTTTAATTTGAACTTATAATATCCAAGTCGTAATAGAGCAATCTTATCTCAGGTCAAGGCTGGTCCTATCACTAATTGTTTGCCTAAAAACTACGGCATATGTGTAGATTGAAACTTTTTTTTCTTGCTTTTTTTGACGAATCTATTCAAGTCACATTCAACTTATCTTTCAAAATTGACCAATATTATAAATTATTATTATTATATTTTTTCGTGATAAGGAAGTTTTCTCAAAGTAAGGGCATATTAGACCCCCATTACATAGTACTCGTTTGGCATAAAATTATGGAATTAAAATAATTTTAAAATAGTATGTTAATAATAGTACTCGTTTGGCATAAAATTATGGGATTAAAATAATCTTAAAAAATATATATATATATATATATATTAAAATATTAATAAGATAAAATGTTAAATTTAAATTATAATTATTTTATTTTTCTCTTACAAAAATTAAAAAAAAAATTAAAAATCCATCTCAAACGAGACTTTTTAACTTTAAACTAAAATGACTAAAAGTCAAAAAGCCAACCCACATATCAAATGAACCCATAATGAACTTCGACAATCACCAAGAATTCACTCAGGTTTTGTTTGTCAACTATATATTTTAACTAAAAAATCATTATAAGTTATCATATTACTCTCTTTATTTTTTTATATATCTTTTTATAAAAGATTAAAAAATTATTAAAATAACATATTTACAAAAAAAACACTTCAATATGAGGAATTCACGTCTAAAATATCTAATTTTACAATTCATATCAAAATAATTTTTTTACCCGAGTGAATTTCTTTTAGTTAAGATATGACTTAAGTGAATTTCTTTTAGTTAAGATAATTTAATATAACATTATTGTTGTAATAAATCAAACGTAATATATAAATATAATTATCATACCATTAAATGTAATTCAAGATAATTCTTAAGTGTGTAAATGCATATCATATGTACTTGTATAAGTTCTCACAAATATACATAAGTTTTTTTATAAAATTACGTAAGATTTCACAAATATACGTAAGTTAACCCATATAAATTTGAGAAATTGCAACTTATATATATTTGTGAGAACTTACATGATTTTGTGAAGTAATTTATGTATATTTATAAGAATTTATACAAATTTATATAATATGCACCTTATACACTCAAACACTGTCTAATCCAATCTTAAAACATTTAAGTAATGGCTTCAAGTGTGCATAGCACTCTATATGGCTTTTGTTGCCCATAACAAAGAAGGAAAAATGGATAATATATAAATATTTTCTAATAGTTGAACTTAATTTTTATTAAAAGTCTTATTGAAAATAAATTTTAATTAAATTATTGTTAAAAATAATTTTTTTATGACGTTTTTTATATATATCGCTAAAAATGAACAATTAGCGACTTTTCTGTTACGATTTTTATAAATCATCATTAAAATTTATAATTGGTAACGTTTTTCTGTGACGAATTTTTCAAATTGTCACTGAAATTTGTAAATTAGTGACTTTTTTGTGACTATTTTTTTCGCTAAAATTAGTGACTTTTTATGATCAAATTTTTAAACTGTTGCTGAAAATTAACAATTAATAATATTTTTTAATAATATTTAATGAAAAATATCATTAATTATCATAAGACCTAACGAATAATAACCTACACATAAGTCCCAAAAAAAATTACTTGGTCCATATTATCATATATTGATAATAAAGACTATATAATATATGCTTAATTAGACCGTCAAAATATAACAATTTTTACAAAGACAATAATTCATACAAATAAAATGTTCTCAACCACACCCGATCATAGACAAAAAAAGAGCTCAAGAGAAAAAGGTGTCTATAATGGTTGTGTGGAGCGGGTCACTCAAATGGGTCGCCCAGTTGTTGAGTGGCCCTTTGCCGGTGACAGCAGCTTGGACGGCAAAACCTAGGAAGGCTACCATGGCAAGGCGGGCATGCTTGATCTCCGCCAATTGGAGGGTTGCCTTCTTCTCTGGGTCCGAGGCCAAACCAAGCGGGTCGAAGAATTTTCCACCCGGGTAGAGCCTCTTTTCCGGGTCAAGCTCAGCATTCCTTTGGAACTCTATGTATCCAATGACTATGACCTCAATCCATATCAATGTGGTTATGGAAAATGGAAGTGGTTGGCCAAGGTAGGATGAACCTTCAATTAGCTCCACCTGAAATAATTAACCACTCATAAATATCATTCAAATGGTTTGTAATTATCAAATTATAATTTGGCACGATTAATTTTGCACTGCGGGAGTGTAAATTTGTATCAGTTGTGCTAAATGATTGAATAAAATGAACGGTATATTTTTAAAAATCATACTTGTCATCAATTTATTTCAAAACAAATAAAACAAATATGATAAAGTCATTATTAACGTATTAATTTAATTTTTTACATGAATTGAAACACCAGATGGAGGCAATCCAAATCCTCGTAAAAATACCAGGAGAGAGGATCTTTATAGTAGATTATATACATCCTTTAGTTTTTAATTATGTGTCAATTTAGGCCTCATTTAGGAATATAATATTTTAGTAATTTTTAAGATTTTTAACTAAAATATAAGATAAAAAAATTAATATGTTTCGAATGACATTTTATAAAAAAATATGTGTAAAAAATATAGAGAAATTTTTTTGGACCTTTTTTTTATTATATATAATTTGTTAAGTTTTAACATTTTTAATAACTTTTTGACTTTAATAGCATCAATCAAAGAGAATAAACTTAAAAGAGAATAAATCATGGCATCAATTAATTAATAGCATCAATTAAAAAGAATTTGAAGCAAAATAATCAATTTAAAAGAGAATACATCGTACTGACATTATCCTTTCAATCACTTTGAAGAGAGTGAATAAATTATTTTGTCCACTAATTTCAATTTAAGTTTTAAAAAAAATATTATAACTAAACTTAAACAATATAAAAGATTCAAGGTAAAATTGAGACAATACCAAAATAAAATTGACAAATTACAACGACTACATGTCTAAAGTTATTTCTAATTTTATCTACACTAATATGACAAATTACAAATTACAAATTAATATTTTATTTTGTCACAAACTTAACCCTAGCTCTCTTGACATACAAATGCTATTGTACCATATTTTTTGTCACATAATTTTATGAATAAAGTGTTTGCATGGTGAAATTAAATTGATATAATGTAAGTCTAAATATAAAAAAAAATAAAATAAAATTGAATCGCATATTAAAATTTCTAAATAAAATTCAAGATATTAGGGTTTAAATTGTGAATATCCAACATTCACGTTCTTTATATATACAGCTACATTTCTACGTATGCAGTGCATACACGTACCTTTCCAGCGTCTTGCCACGTAACACCAGTGAGCCACTCAACAGTAAGCGCGCCGAGCGTAGCCAACATAGCCCACCTTCCATGAATCAGCTCACACTCCCTAAACCTCTGCAACCCAAACACCTCTGTGTACGGCTGAAACGGCGTCGACTTCACATCCGCGCTCTCGAACCGGGTCCCGATTACATCACCCGCCGAGTTCTTAGCCAAGTTCTGATCCAACGAGTCCAAATCAAATTGCAAGTACTCGGCCGGTTTACCCAACCCGAACGGGTCAAACCCGTAATCCCCAACAAGACTCCCATCTAACCATTCGGGCGCTTTCGCTCCCGGGTACCAAAGTGGGCGGTCAAAGCCCTGCTTCGCAATCTTCTTTGGTGGAGCCTTTTTGCGTCCGAATCCGAACCGGGCCTGGACCCGGCCCGAACCGGAATATAGGTCGGCGAGGCGGGTGCCTAGAAATGATGATGTGGCGGCAGCGGCGGCGGCGGTGGTTGCGGCCATGGCGGTGGAGGAAGTGAGGGATTGGATTGGGAGTGTGGGAGATGGTGGTGATTTGGGTTCGGGTTATATGTGGTGATGGAGGTGTGGATCTCTATTTTTGTGGGGAGTGTAGGGGATTATCTAGTGTGTTGGATTTGTGGCCGTTGGATTGGAGGGAGGATCCATCTGACGGGTGTGAGAGCCTCGGCCTTATCTTTGCCTTATCTGGTGGGGTAGAGTGACTGATTTTTGCTGGTTCGGTGGAGTTGTTTTGTGGTTGATGTTCATTGGTGTAGAAATCTTTCCCTCTGTTTGAGAGAGACCAATGTGGCGTCACTATTGGTTGGACAAGATTTCCATAGTTCCTACCTTGAGAGGTTGACAGTTGTGACAATATCAGTAGACCATTTTGTATTGTGTAATTGGTGCGCCACGTCATTGAGATAATGTTTCCTTATTTTTCATTGATTGTCGTGGGGGTAAAAGTGATGCTCAAGGGTGTTGGGCGTTCGATTACATTAATTTTTAATTTTACTTATAACACATGATAATTATGAGGGGGTGATTTTATAATATTCTTTTATTTGATTCTTGATTTGATGCCTGTAACAAGAAATATTGTGATTAGGGATGTCAAAATTAGTACTCCAACAACTAAATCAAATTATGTATGTGAGGGAATGAGCTCAATTTCTCATGAATAAAGTTGAGTTAAATGATAGTGCATATATTTCTTCTTTTATGCACTTTTTTTATATAGTCATTTGGTATAGATATTTTTTACGTAATTTGACCGGTTTGTCATCATTACTTAAATGTCAGAGCTCATGTTCCTACTACACTTTCGGAAAGAAACAGCCCGAGCCCACTTTAATACTCGGCATAAGCATCAATCGATTTTGCCAGTATCACTTATTTGACATATCATTTGGTCGGCGAACATATTGCTCGACGTTTGGTCTTTGGGCCTATGACGAATGGGCCTTGATATGCCTTGTTTGCCGATTGTGCATGCTTTTTATACCACATCATTTTGGGCACATAATGTACTAATTATACCAACGCTCCGTTTGCTTGAGTGAAAAATAATTTTTTGTTTTTTTTTAAAAATATTTTTTATATTTGGTGTTGGTGGTGCTAGGACGAGGGTGGAGTTGGAAGTGATGGTGGGGTGGCGGTAGTAGCAATGACGACAGTGATGATGGTGGTGATGGTTGTGCGGTGGTAGAGGTGATAGTGGTGGTGGTAATGTGGTGACATTAATAAGATTTTAGTTTGAAAATTTTTTTTTGCGTTTAATAGTAAAAAATATTTTCTGTCTAAATAAATTTATTTTTTGTTAACTTTCATTTTTCATTATATCAAACGCTTAAAAATGTAGAAAATAGTTTTTAAATAATATTTCATATCCAAACCATCGGAGTGTAAATATTTTCTAAAAAAAATAGATTGAATCAAGGTGTGAAGTTTACACACAATAGTCTATAAAAAATATAAACAAATTAAATCATTAAATTAAGACCGTAACGACAAGTGTGGCTCAACTATAAATTATTTATACTGTCGCTTAAAACTTATCAAAAAAATTTTTAAATATTTTTATTATCAAAAGTTTCAACTTTTTTGTTCCTTAATTTTAGTCTGAGAACTCCAAAAACTTTATTCAACTTATAACAACGGAATACATAATTAATTTATCAAAATATAATAAATAAAGTGGAAGAAAATAATTACATGACCCTATGTAATTAGAAAAATACACCCCATATGACATGACCTTATCCAATTAAAATGGCAAACTCCTCACTGCATAGGATATAAATCGAATTTACAAGATTAATTTTTCGTTCAGATCCAAAAAAAAAAGAAAAAAAAAGAAAAGAAAAGAAAGATAAATTTTTCGTTGAGAAAGGCGAGAGGCATCGAAAGGGGGTAAAGGTGAGGTGTACAATTTACTTTTATTTTTGTTATGATACTTGTGTAGTTATAAGTAAGAGTGTGTGTCGCAGTTCTGTACACTTTCAGAATAAAATTATGAAATAAATTGTGAATAGGGGATTAATAAAATTATTATATTTTGCATATGTATAATATTATAGTACACATCATCAAAAGAATGTGTCATAGGTAAGTTATGTAATTTGTGATAAACTCACAAATAACATAATTTAGTATTATAAGAGTCATAATTTAAAATAAAAAAAATAAATTATAACCAATCATTAGGGGCAGAGCCAAGATTCCTCCAGTGGAAGGAGCAAATCGCCAAGGTGAATGTATAGGATAAATCTATCGAGTCGTTGATGGATCCGTTTGAAGTTTTATTTAAATCAATTAAATATTACTCAATGGAGGCTAGTTGGACCAATAAAATTATAAAAGATTAGTCTTAATTAAATATTATTTGTATGAATTTCATGGTTAAGGAAGTCAAATGTCAAAATTTATAAGGGAAAATTACACCGACACCTCCTGAGATTTGGTCCGATTACATTTTATTCATTGACGTTATAGAAATTACATTGAAAAATGTTTAGAGACTCCAAATAAATTATTAAATTTTCTATCAAATCTCTCACTTGGGTGTAAGACCCACACACATATGATTTGTGTGAGTTCCACACTTATGTAAGAGATTTGGTAGAATATTTGATAATTTATTTAAAATTCCTAACATAATTCAATTATATTTCTATCCTTATGATTAATAGTCCCATTCTTGTATAAAAGACAATAATAACTCTGGGGTAAAAAACTAAGCCTCCGTTTGGGAAGTGGGTTGGCTTTTTGGCTTTTTTGACTATTTTAGCCTGGGCTTAAAAGCTTGGTTTGGGAAGGGCTTTTTGGCTTTTTGGCTTTTTTGAGTTTGTTTGTGAGAGAAGAATGTAATGATTATGAGTTGGATGTGATGTTTTTTTGTTATGACTAAAATAACCTATTTTGTCTTTTGTGGCTAAAATAGCCAAAAAAAGCCCAAGAACCAACTTGCCAAACAGAGCCTAAAGAAAATTACATTTAACGAAAAAAAAATAAAACAAAGGAAAGAAAAAAAAAATAGAAAAAAAAAGAAGAAGAACTACACCAAAGTAAGGCAAGAAAAAGAGAGTGAAATTTTCAAAGGCGTCTGTAATTGTTGAGAAACATCAGGACAGACAGACCAATCTAATTTACTCAAAATAAAAAAAGTAAAAAATTCTACTATATTCGAAAGCAACCGGCTGTAGTCGGTCATATGTTTTCCTGCATCCAGATGTATTGCTCTGCTCTGCGGGCGGCACACCCAGCGAAAGGTTTACCGGTTGGTCCGGTCACTCAATCTAGTCTTCACTGGGTCGTACCTCCGCTTCTTCCTTTCTCCAAAATATCTCTCCTCTCTCTCTAGGTTGCTGTTCTGTTGTTTGATTCTCCTCTTGAGCTGCGTTCTGTTCCTCACTGTCACTGCGAGATCGCCGATCTTCAAGGTATGTTTCGTTTCTCTACTTTCTTTTTGATCTATACAAATTGCATATATATATATATATATAGGTATATGATTTTGTTTATGAAGTTTAATTTGATTGTTGATTGTTTGTTATTTGAGCTTCAAATCTGTGATTCTGTCTGTTTAGTTACTGAAAAACAGTTTGCTTGAATGATTTTTCTAGAGTAAATCACTTTAATTATTCGTTTTTGATCTGTTCTGTTTCTCTGTGATTATTTTGATCGATTCAATTCCTTATTTTGTTTGTTTGTTAGTTTTTCTATCTCATTTTTTTTTTTAGAAATGCTTGATTTGGTCTTTTTAAGGTTGATATTAATCTCTATGTTTGTGTGTGTATGTGTGTGTTGCGTTGACCTGTATGGCTTTATCATGAATATTTGTCTGGTTTAACTTTTTTGGGATCTAAATTGGTCTTAAAGGGTTCTAATCTAAGGCTGTTTTACTTTTTAAGGCATTCAATTGTCACAATGAAGGCTGCCAAGGGTAAGGGGGCAGCGATCAGGGTCTCGAAGGAGGCGTTGAAGCCCGTTGACGACAGGTTAGCTAAGTTTGCGTAACATTTTGGTGGTTGTAGTTGCATCTTTGTGGGTTTTTTTTGTTTGTTTTGTTTTTGGTGTTTACATTAATGTGAATGACTCTGTTTAATGTTATGATCTTGACCAGAAGTTTCAAGGTCGAGTCAAATGAGTTCTATATGCATCTAATCGGTATATTTAATGGTGGATACGGTGGTAACAGGAATGTTATAATGACGGATCATATGTATCTCTTTTTTTCAGAAAGGTCGGGAAGAGAAAGGCTGCCACTAAGGCAGATAAGGGTGGCAAAAGTCAAGCCAAGAAGGGAAAGTTGGCTAAGAAAGACCCCAACAAGCCTAAGAGGCCTCCCAGTGCCTTCTTTGTATTTCTGTATGTATTGATCTTGTTGCTGTACCCATTAGAAATTATTTCTGGGGTTTGCTTGATATCAAAGAAAGATAGCCTTTGATTTGAGTCTCATAATGTTACAGTGAGGAGTTCAGAAAGACCTTCAAGAAAGAAAATCCTCACGTGAAAGCTGTCTCAGCTGTAAGTTCTTTGTGGGGTTAAGGTTTCAATTGTTGTTGTGTAGTTTGGAAAAGTTGATTTGTGTAAAATAAGAAATGGATTTGATATCTACATCTTGCACTTGAAGGTTGGTAAAGCTGGCGGGGAGAAGTGGAAATCCATGTCTGGAGCTGTAAGTACTCAAGCATTTTGTAGAGAATTTAGAATCATCTGGGATGTATCATTACAATAAAGTTACCTGATTTAATTTGGCATACAACTAGAGATGTTTCATTGCCTGGTGAATACTACTTGGGTGCTATAAAATTAACCACTGACAGGGCCTAAAGGCTCAAATTTCTTATTCACATTACTTTTTTAGGGTTTTATGCATTTATTTATTTATTTATTTAAGTTATAGTCTCAGTATTTCAAGTCATCTCAGTCAAATATTTGTGAGTGATGAAATTAACTTGTTAAGGGAGGGATTGAGCTCTAAGTGTAGAATGAGTCATGTGTATACACTTACAAGTTAACTGTGGTGTAAAAAGGCTAATTGCTCTGTCTATCATATGGTCTATCTGGTTTTGGCAGGAAAAAGCTCCATTTGAAGCCAAAGCTGCAAAAAGAAAGACTGAGTATGAGAAGCTTATGAATGCTTATAACAAGAAGCAGGTGAACAGTTTGTGTCAATATGCTGACATTGTCACTCATAATCGTTATTATATCATCACCGTAGTTCTCATTAATTGGCCCATTCATTCAGTTGTTTTCTGTCTTTCTTTCAGGAAAACATGGATGATGATGATGGTGATGAGGAATCTGAGAAATCTAAATCTGAGGTTGATGAGGAAAGTGGCCAGGTGGTTGTTACTTCTTCTAGTATTGCAGTTGCTATTTCATGGTTTAGAATGTCCTTAGATATTGAACATGTTGATGAAAGCCAAAGGAATAATATCCTCAAAGTATTGCCATAGGCAATGAGGCACGGATACTTCAAAAAGGGAGATATATCCGTATCGCATCCGTATTGGATACCGATACTCCTTGGATACTCACGGATACATATCCGATACTTCTTAATTATTTTTTCATTAATTTTGGAGAATCAGATACTTAATTTTGAAGTATCGGATGTTCCAAGTCACATATTATTCCTAATACTTTATTTAGTTATTTGATGAAGAGCATAGTGAGAGTTAAAGTAATAAAATATGTTAAATTGATGTATCCTTATTGTTTCATGCATGTCCTCTATAACTACATAGAAAGTAAAGATTAACAAGAGAATATAATAATAACAAAATTATAAATTATAAATAAATAAGCAAGTAAACTTGAATACAATATTTTTACTAGTACCAAAAGGCAAGTCATAGGAACAAGCTGTGGATTGTTTTATTATTGCAATATAAACATATTAAACTTGATATTAAAATGAAATAAACAATTTATTGCTTTAAATTAATATCTAATTCTTAAAAGTTAGTGTTTTGCATTATAAAATTATAATGTGGTCTCTCAAAATTCTTGAGTTTATGTGTAACTCACTACCAAAATTTTTAATAAACATATCCTAGCCGTATCTGTATTCTACTTTTTTAGGTTTTGTCGTATCGCCATATCCGTATCGTATCGTATCGTATCCATATTTCGTATCTTGTATTTGTATCCATATCCATGCTTCCTGGGCCATACGGGGTTAACTGAATAATTTTATGTTTTTGGATTTGTTGAGCAAATTCTATTTTCTGTTTTGTCTTATTATTATTTTTTGTTGTGGGCGTGGGGTTCTGGTAAGTTACATGTCCTGCCTTAATGTGAAATAATTATTTGGTTTTGACGTTTCATATGCAAGGGTATTTTGGGCTTGATTTCAAGTTCCACTCACTGAATTACTGTTTTTATCACCAATAATTTGTTTGGTGCTTTTTACCTTCCGGTGTGTGCGCACACCCTTGCATGTGAAGGCATCCATAAATAAATTAGAAGTCGGTATAAGAGATCATACAGATGGAAATAGGAATGGTGTACTTGTTACCAAAGAAATAATATAGGGAGCAGGGGACATGGCATAGAAAATGGTCAAGATAATTTGAAAACCTTACACAGATTGATGATGACCTGACCATATTATAGAAAGCTTTTATTGAAGCGTTGGAAACCTCTTTCTTGAAATTTTCAGTAACATACCCAATGACAATGTCTCAAGTGTTTCGACAATCGCAAATGTTCCTTACAAGTTGTATGTTTTTGGAAATGGGTTTGGGAAGAAGCTTTCTCAACCACCTGGAACTGGGCTTTCCCATGCCTATGGAGGCCTCAACCTGAAACAAGGTTGATGGTGTCATGCCTTTCTAATCCAACTGTTGGTCAAATTATAGAACTTGCCCTTGTCACAAAGTGAAATTTCTGCTGCTTCATATCATATATGTTCAAGAAACTATGAAACTGACACTATATTCAGAACCAACCATTTCTCTATCACCTTTCTATTTTGTTTCCATTGCCAATTCTATCCTAAATGTCTCGTCGTTGTGTAGGAACCTGAGGAAGAGGAGGAAGAGGACGAGGATGAGGACGACGACGACGATGACGATGATGACTGAATTTGGACGTTTTCTGACCATGGACATTATTGCCAATCCAAGGCAAATGTGATGGATATTGTATGTTCATACTCATGGGTTACATGTGGTGATCTCTGAAATGGTTCAACTATCTGCCTTGTGCGTTGCTATATTATCACCTTTGATACTTGTATGCTCAGTATGAGCTTGTTTCTTCGCACTCTTAATTTCTCACAGAGCATTCCTTAGCCTTACATGGTGTGTTAAGCATGTTAGTCCCTCATTTTCTCGAGTTATAAATGAATATGTATATATGAATCAAGGATGAGAGATGGCATCTTGGTTTCATATGGAGTTTCTACAGCTTGTTCATGGTCATCTCTTTCATCGTTTGTTGAAATGCTTCAATTCCCCACTAGATTTGTGGGCTTGTGCTCAATTTCACTAGCATGGATATGTATTTCTTGGTACCTGATATTGGTAAATACAGGAATTGTTGGCTATTTGGTGTATCGAACAGTTTGACCTAAGCAACAAGAAGCTATTATTATTGCCTTCCCACTGCTTCACTATGTATGATGGTCAAGCTTCATGAATTGTACCATTACGCAATAAATTAGAGTAGAGGAAACTTGATTTCATTTTTCGCATATTTTAGTTGAGGATTATTACGGTTTTGGATTGTGCACAAGCAAATGTTTTTGGTGAATCAAGCTAAGTTAAAGAGGCAAATGGTATATATCTGAAAACCGTATTAGAAGTTTGGGACGCAATGTTGGGACTCTGATGATCACTGTATTTATTCAGTTAGTATGTCTGTGACATGAAAGATACTTGTGCATGATTAGTGCAAGTAGTTGATTAGTAAAATGTTAGTGGCCGAAAGAGCACCACATGTACTAAATGTTTTTTGCGGTTACTCTGCCTTCTGTATTCCTGAAGGTTAACTATTGTGAAATGCATAAATTCAGATTTGTACAAATGTGAAGGTGGGAGTAGTTTAGCTTGGGTCATGTTAGGGCAGACATCTATTAATGGTGTGTTTGGTTAGGAGATTTGAGGAGAGATTTGAAAAAGAAAATGAAAAAAGTAGGTGAAATTTAAATAAAATATGTTTAATTTTATCTAGTTTTTCACACTTTTTTTTTTTCTTTTTCAAATCTCTCTCCAAATCTTCTTAGGGGGTGTCACTGTGAATTTTAGGGGTTGTTTGGGATGATCTAAATTAGTGTACTTTTTGACTTTTTATGATATATGGGTTGAGTTTGAAGTGATGTGATAGAGATGTGATACGATTTAAATAAGATGATGTGACTTAAATAGAATAGTAATTTTTTGACTTTTTTAGGTTATGACAAACAAGGTCTTAGTACTTGTAGAGCAGTTTAAGATGAAACTTTATGCGGTAATCTTGTTTTGATAGTATTGCATTGTCTCTCGTCGTGTCTTTTCTTGTGTGGTTGTAAAGGAAATGAAGGGGGAGGAAAGAGCATCTGCATGGAAATGTATGGCATTCGAATTTGAATGACTATACTCATTAATTGATACAACTTTTGATGACAAAGTTCTCCAATGATTATGAGATTTTGAAACACCTTGACAACATTGGATACCTATGATGAGTCTCAGTGAATGTTGGGGAGCTATTTAACCTAATATTAGATTTGATGGAGCTGCAAAATCCCATTGCTATGTTTTGATTGTAGATGGCAACTTTGGAGGCGTAGGAGGTTGGCATGCTGTGTGTGCGTGTGTGTGGAATGATCTATTATATTTGATGGAGAGTATAACAAGTATTGAGTGATGACCTAGGCAAAAAAGTTGATGGATTGGTTGAAAGGAGCTTTTTACTTACGGAATTATGGTGGAGTTACAGAATAAAGATTTATGATAGAGAACTTAGAGACAAAGTAAAAAGATGGAGAGAAGTTGAAGGGAATTTACATGCTCCATTATGTTGGCATCAAGGCCAATATATAGACTTACAAGAAGAGAATGCAAACAAAATATTACTTATTGCATATCTAACTTATATCTAACATATCTAACTTTGTAAGACTTTTTGTCTTAAAAGTTGCCAATTTTTCTAACTAGTTAGGCAAGTCTAGTCGTAGGCTTTTTGAAAAATCTATCTAAAAGTAAATACAAAGAGACAAAAATAAATACAAAAGGACTACAATTATTTGCTCTTTGTTACAGTTTTTATAATTATATACACTGAGACACACTGTCTACCCTCCCCGGTTTTCAAAGAGTTAGACTGTTGTAGATAAGCTTTGGCTGAGCTGATTTGTCGTGTAGCGTCGGCTGAAAGGATGTGGTTGATCACTTTCCGTCAAATAATGCAGGTTGTTCCACGTGTCCTGGATAAGGTTGGAGTCGATCAGGAGACAGCTGCATGTGATAGTGGGGTCCACTATGCTTCCATCCTGTTGATGAGATTGTGATATTCTTCATCAGTCTCTGATGGAGGGGAATCCGGATCTTGGCTGTATTGCTCATTCCGAAAATGTTCTACATCATCCGCGGTCATGGCTAATTCCAACGGAAGATCCAAATTATTTCTCTTTTTGAGATTTATTAACATGTCAAGAGCCTCATTAATTTGCATTGGAGACCTTTGATATGTTATGGGAAAATGGGTTACAAATAATATTCTTCCATCTGTAACCATGAATGTCAATTTTGCTGAGCCATGGATGTTGGACGCTGCTTGTGAAACAGATATTAGACTGTCTATCCAATATTCTGTTAAAGAAAGTTTTTGGATGTTTTCCAATCGCTCTCTCCGGTGATCTTCATCTAAATAATCATCTTCAAATTCAAAATCTTCAGTTTCTTTAAGATACCAAATCTGGTATGGTTGGAAAAAAATGTTCTCGTTCTCGCCAACTAACAGTACTGGAGATCTAAAAAGTAAAATATTTGCTCCATCGAAAGCCTTTTACTATCGACGAGAGCATTGTTTTGATGATCATTGGATAATCTATCCATTGAATTGGATCTAAAATTTGGAAAATAACTTGATTAGTTATTCCCCAATCTATATCCTCAAAAAACCACATGTCATGGTTTGCCATGATGGTTATTTTGGGAATTCCATCTTTCAAATTTAATTTATCATAAGATCGTTCTAAGATTTGTCTAATCTTATCATGATGATCTTTAACCCGATTTTTGATTAACATAAAAATTTCTTTTGGAAGCAAAGTTCTTGCTTTTTCAAAAAGACAAATTCTTTTTATTTGTTCAAAAACTGGATCAGAAAACTCATCTGATATGAGGTCTGATAGTTGAAGAAAATTGTTTATTTTTTCAAAATTAAAATCTTCATTCCAATTCATTTGTTTAAGAATATTGAAATAAAGATTTTGCAAATCTTTTAATTTAGCTGTTTGCTCAGCTAATTTATTGGCCAAAACTCCCATCTGTTTTCGAAATTTCACTTTGTTGTCTACAATGTGAGTTTTCCAAACTCCATTGAGTTCTGTATAAATTTCTTTGGAACAGCAACTTCTTGCATTTTTTCGAATTTTGCTAATTCTTCGTCGGTAAAAGTTTTTTCTTCCCCGATTACATCTCCAAGTCGAATTGCCTGCAATTCTTCTTGAGAAATATTATCTGTTTCTTGAGATATTGCTTGATTATTATTAGTCATCATGAAGATTAGTTCTTCATCTGAACTTTCTTCATCACTAGAAATTTCATATAAGATTTCTTCTTTATCAGAAATTTCTTCTCCATATATTATTTCAAAATCTTGTTCTTCAAGGACTTTGATCATTTTCTTTGCACTTTTTCCCCGTTTTGGGCATTCGGGTGCATAGTGACCTTCTTCGTTACAAATGTAACATTTACAAGTTTTCTTTTTTGAAACACTTGTTGGTTTCTTTTTTCGAATATACTTTTTCTTTTTTGAAAAAGTTTTGTTCTTTTTCCAAGGTTTCCATTTATATTTTCTACGCTTTTTGGAAAATCCTTTTCTTTTAGAAATGTATTACAACCAATTTTTCAATTTTCTTTTAAAATTTTATCATAACATTTTTGACCATATGGTGAGTTAGAAATTTGATTTTTTATTTGTTTTTTCGCCTTTGCTTCTAGACACCGATCTGTTATCAGCCTTAGAACATAATTAATGCGAAAACCAAGATTATCATATTCTTCCTTCCCCATTTTTTTGAGAAAATCAGGATATGTTTTAATGCATAACTCTCCTTTGGTTAAGTTAATCAAAACATCTTTTCGTGGAATAAAATATCCATCAAACCAGTCATCTATTGCTTGTGGTTGATCCTTAAATGGAACATAAGACAAGTCTAAATACGTACCATTTTGAGCTATTGGATACTTATGATTATTATCTTTTCTAGATATTACTGGTTCAGGTGTAGGATTGGAGGTACTTCCAGTTTTAGTATCATTTTTAACTTCATTTGTTTGAATAAAATCAAAATTTTCAAAATTTTCTCCATCTCCCCATGTGCCAAATAATTCGGGATCAATTGGCTCTTCTGCCTTTCTTTTCCCTTTATTTATTTCTGATGCAATATCTTGATCTATTGATTCTTCAGATGAGGATGATTGGCTGTCATCATCATTAGTTGACATATTAATATCATAATTAAAGTGTTGTAAAAGGGCTTCATTTTCTAGATAAGTTTCTCTTATCTGATCTAGTAGCCTATTTCTTTCATCAATACCTAAGTCTGGGTCTTTATATAATTTTCTCCAATAATCTAATATTTCAACAATATTTTCATATTCAGTTTTATTATAGGTATTGGTTTGAAGTACCATAATATCTTTTGTACCATAAAATAGCCTAGGGATGTCACTATCTCCTGGACTATTCATTCCATCATTGTTTATGAAGGATATAGTTTCTAATTTTGTCACCAAATTGTTTATTTGATTTTTTGCTTCTTTATTTAAATCAATATTTATTATAGAACCCAAATTGTCTATTTTAGATTCTATAGACTCAACTTTAGTCTCTAGATAATTTTGATTTATTTTTTGATTTTTATCTAATTTAGAAAACCAAGAACACATAATATCAGTAATATTATTTAAACTAGAACACACACTATTTAATTTGCAGATTCTTTAGTAATATGCAGACTATGATCATATTTATTATTAACATTATTTTTTGTGTTTTCAAAGCATATTATATCATCAGAATTAATTGCCATTTTAGATTGTTGTTGGTACCTAAGACCCTCCTAGTGTATTATCTGGTGCCTAAAACCTCTCTTTTATGATTTTAAAGACTTAATTATGGCCAATAGTCAAAAGATCTTAATGAGTATATGGGCTTTGACATAAACTAAGCATATAGGTTTTACAACAACTATAAATGAAACAAATAATTATGAAGATATAAAATACAAAAGATACACAAAAAACTTAGACAGAATTTTTAACTTAATTTTTTTTTTTAATAACATAAAACACACCATACAAACTTATATATATCAAAAATTTATACATAGACAGAAATACTTACATAGCTTGATTTTGCTTTTCAAAACTCTTCACCAAGCTCTGATACCAATTACAAAACTAAAATGGAAATGAGCTTTTTACTTATGGAATTATGGTAGAGTTACAGAGATGTCTAGGATGGTTCAGGCCATCTTCTTACACAAGCATTTGAGAAGTTTTGCGGAATGAAATGAGTGGACCTCTCAACAAACTCATCCCCCTGGAGTTTTTTTGTAGGCAGTTCTTTAAATAACTATGTGATCAAATCAATTTTGCATAAAAAAAAAATAAATGGGTGAACAAATTAATGGTTGACAAAAAATTGATCCAATGAGATAGCTATTGATATCCGATTAACGCGATTTTTTATAGACATATAATGCTTGACAAGTTTTACATACTGAATAGTTCGGATTATCAAAATAGGACCGGTGATGAACCCTTATGAGCCGAACAGTACCGTCCAGTCCGATCTGAGACCGGAGGCAAGTTGCTCCCATTCTTTAACTGAGCTGTTTTTTTGTACTCTATTAACATCTATGATCTATCTACTCGTTGGTACTCGCGCTGTTAAAGTAATCATGCATAAAGTAATTTGGTGTTGCTTATTGCTGAGTGGCGATCGAATACTCTTTTGTTAAATTGTGCAGTCGGCTGTAGCTTTTGATTGAATTTGGCAATGAGAATTTTATCTAGTTTTTGCATTTTTGAATACTGAATGTGTTTTCCAAATGCTAAATTTACACTTGTTTCAAGTGAATATATGGAATTATTATTTTTTAAATATTTTTTTATATGGATTATTGTAAGATGGTTTCTTTGCTCAAGGTATCCTTCCAAATTGATTACTCACAGCACTTGATTTTGGTGATTGGTCATTTACTCCGGAAATTGGTTTAAGTTTTAAATGGGTAATTATTCAGTAGTTACGAAACATTCAGTGTATTTGGTTTGAGTTTTTTGAATTAAGTTTTTTTTGAAGCCGACCTAACTTGGTTAGTTGGGTGGTAGACAAAATTAGTCTCATCCATCCCATTTTTGTGCAAAATGTGCCAGTGTTGCAAGAAGGTACAGAGATGTTTCAACAATGGGTTGGTAGTTGGAGAGTTGACCATGTTTGATTTGCTAATGCGATTCTAAAATAAATTATTTTCAAAATGATTTTTAGTCATTTTGTGTTAGAAGAATTATTCCAAAATAAATTTGAATAAAACACAAGATAATTTCATCCAGAGAACAAAATTCTATCTCACACACTCCCTTATCCGCAAAGCAAATGTTGATTGCAGAGAAAAAGATTATAATCAAATTGAAAAATTTTAGAAACAAATTCAATTCGATTACTTTACCAATTGCATTTATCTGCTCAATAAAAAAGATTGATGAACAACTTCACAAAAACAGTCTTTACAGAAAGCAAACTCAGTATATACACTATACAGTCTTCACAAGAAGCCACAGATCACATAGAAAAACAAGTGGTGGCAATAATGAATTGTATCCTATTATTCAAAATCAAATAAATAAAATTCCAAACTAACCATGTTAAGATCCTCTGACAATGGCCAACCATTATATAAAATTTCAATCAATGACTGACTAACAAAGAACAAACACAAAATTATATACAAAAAAACAAACCAATCTATGTACAGAAGTTCCATCTTCTGAAGATGCCCTCATCACCGGTAACGAGGATCATAAGAAACGAGAATCGGATCGGGAAGGATAAGAGGCAACTTCTCAATGTACATTATAAGCCTCTTGAAATTTTCTTTGGCAATTGATGGCAAGTCCACAACTTCACAGCTGGCGGTGTACATCCAAAGGTCGCCCGAGTCCACTCTTTTAAGGCTATCCCGACAGAAGGGGCATGACTGAGACCGATTACGCCTGAATCAACAATTAAATGCAACTATCATTAGCATAATTTTTTTTGTAAAGGCAGCGAATCCCATTCTACAAGAGTGGAAAACAACCATACAACATGTAAATTGATCTACATAATTTCAACTATCGAAATACCACAGAGCATCATATCTATTGCCATCAAGCAGTATTGGCATTTGATATGGACCCAATATCCTTAGTAGAAATGCGCTTGCTCAATAAACCGAAAAAATATCTTGCTGAGAGCCAATTTCTCTGCTTTAGTTTTTTGAAAAAAAGGGCAGGGAATACAATTCAAATGGGCAGTGAAGTGACTAAACTACATACAATAATTGTGAACTGTTGGTCACCTACGTAGGCTTTGGTAGCATCAGGATGCCTTTTGGAGACTTGTATGTTGCTTGGGTGAGCCAAAGTGGAACCGACCAAGTGTCATGGAAGGGGCATGTTTGACCAGAGAGTGAGTGCGCCTCACACTTGGTTAGACAGTTGATCAACTCTCGATTTAGATCAACTCTTGACTTAGATCAGTCTGCCTTTGTTCAACATAATAATTCATGATGATGGACCAACTAAATCACCCATGGACTACTAAAGTCTCCCTTAAATTCTTAAATCGATTTACAATAACAGAAGGAATCAAAGCAAGATTTTTATCCCAGTGGTTGATAGTCTAAGAAGGAACTGAAGCAGCAAATTCAAGATCTCTTTGATATATAACAAGAATGCTTTAGAAAAATGTATAACAGATACTTGATCAAAAAAGAAAAAGAAATGAAATGGTTTACCAAACAGAAAGATCAATAGTTTGCTCACCAATTTCGGTAGCACTTCATGCACATAGAATGACTGCATTTGGGCAAGACAACCTTGGTGTTTATCTCCATACAAATACCACATTCTTCTTCTCTCTCTATATCAATTTCAGAAATCTTACCCTTGTTCATCTTATCTCTTCTACTGTACTTAGCTGCACAGATCTCTCTCTGTTTCCTATCTTCAACATCGGTGATTCCTCTTTGAAGTTGCAATAAAGAGGGAAATATTATGCCTGCTTAAGGCAAGCCAATGTGAGGAATGAAGCTACTAACAATTTTTGAACTCGAATTGGACAATCATAATAGCAAACAATTTTTTAAATCAAAAGAAAACATTAAACTCCTCAGTTCACTCACCATAAAACTCTCTTATGCTGGCTCTCCTTTCATGAATAGACATGGTAGTCTTTCCATTATCGTAAGCCTGCAAACACTCGTCATATTATTGCCTTCGGTACCAGTAAGACTAGAAACCTAAGAAGCACAGACACTTTGACACTCATCAAACACTTCCCAACATGTATCAAGCATGTCCTACTAATATTTTTTATTTTTTATACCTAGACATGTTTCGGACACTTGGGGTACATACGTATCCATTGCCTAAACACGCATAAACACATTACAAGTTTAAAGAAAACAACTTGGAATCAAATGATAAAAGAAAAACAACGTCGATTTCTTCTTGTTAATCTATCAATCTTTAAACTCCAGAAATTAGTTTTATGTTGCATTTTCTATTGTCTATGTATGAAACATTCATATATGTCACAAATAATAAATACATAAACTATGTACTTTGTGCGTATCCCCCACATGTCGTGTCCGGTATTTTTAAAAAAAATAAATTATTACGTTAGTGTGTGTGCATCTTTGTTTCCTAGTAAGAAACATCTCTTTGTAGTTGCACGAAAAAAATATGAATGACCTTATAAATGAGTATTCTAAGCAATCCAAGAGCACCAGCTAGGTGACAATCAGTCCATTGAACAAGAAAGAGGAACATTTGAGCACAAGGACTGTACGATAATCTCATCTGCAAGCAGGCACCATCATATCCCCTCGGATAATCAGAAGCCCTGCATCTCAAGAGAAAACAATAAAAATCAAATATAGAAAAAGTCCAGTAACTTCTAAGAATAAAACTAACTATTCTTCTTTGCATTCGAATAAATTATCTTAAGCCAATAAATTGCAAGAAGTTTTAAGAATGTGGGTTCAGTCTCATTTTATGTATTTTAGAAATCACAATAGAAGCCCATGGATTTGAGGGAAGAAACCATCAATCCCTGTTTGGTTATGTTTTCATTTTCTTTGTTTTTCATGTTTTAAGAAACAAAAAAACATCAAAAATTTCAAAAAACCTATTGGTTTCATTTTTGTGGGAACATATATTAAAAAGCAACTCCTTTTCCCAACAAGTGTGTTGTTTTCTAGAAATTAACATGAAAACAATTTTCAAAACAAGTTCTATGTGTTTTTCCCAAAAGAGTAATATGCTAGAGACCCACATCCCCCAAATACACCCCCAATATGATGCGGCAAGGAAGTAGTAAGCAGTAGAGCCTGAATAAGTGACACATCAAAAATTGACAACTATCATTCCACTTGGGTGAAATTGTGGGGATTTTATTAGGTGATTCAAAACATTTGCCTTCCCAAAAAATGTAAACAAAAACACAACCAAATAGTGATCAATTTGATTCTTCTGCTGCCACTGAAATTATTCAAATCCAACAAAAGCATATGGGATTTGGCAAAACCCTTTCCATATACCATATAGTTGCTTGAATTAAATCAACAAATCCATGAAACCTCTGGCAATTAAAGATATAAACTACACTTCATACAAAACAAAGTACATATAAATTTATTTCGGGTACTAATAAGGAATATATATACACATCAGATTTTTGCGTTGCAGGTAACCTTTTTTTCCTTAAAAAATTGGATTCCTTAATAAAGATAATGAACCGATAAAGAAAGAATCAAGAAAATAATTAGTGTCAACTAAAAAAAATGGAAATGATAAATTTCCCTAGTTATATATATAATACAGTTCCTGAGAAATACCAACAAAATCATTCGTTGTAAAATCAGCCGAATTAGATATTTGAATACAATTCTTTTCTTTGAAAATAGAAAATCAAATTAAATCTCCAATCTTTTGTTAAAATTTAATACTGTTCTGGTTAGTTAGTACAAACTACATATATATATATATATATAGAGAGAGAGAGAGAGAGAGAGAGAGAGAGAGAGAGAGAGAGAGAGTACATGGTATTGGCATGCTGAATATCAGCTTCAAGCGCCTTGAGAGAATCCTTGAATGATTTCCTCATAGTCCCTTCCTCTATACCCAATTCCCATCCAACAAAATTCAACAAAAACAACAACAATCACTCTTAACCCCTCACTCTCTCTCTCTCTCTCTCAATTCAACAATCAAAAATCTTCAAGCCCAAACCCAAAAACAAAAACCCACAAAAGATAAAGTGATCAGAAAAACCCAGAAAGTGACATACAAATACAATTTGACTGTTTCCTACTATATATATATATATGTGTGTGTGTGTATGTATCTGAGTCTCGAACAAACAGAGAAAGGTGATTTGATTTTCTCTCTCTAAAAGTATAGAGGTTTCTCACTCCAGAAGAGGAGAAAGAAGTGGGAGTGATGCGTCATCAACGGTGGCGTGGAGGTTGCGTTTGCAGAGAGAGAGAGAGAGAGAGAGAGGTGTCACCACCGCACTTTGCCCAACTTCGCGTGCACCGCACGCTGTCTCAGCTACCACTGCTAATGATATAAATTTAACAATTTTAAAAATTAAAAATTATAATCAAATTATATATATCATTTATTAAAAAAAAAAAAATAAGATTTTTTTTTTTAAAAGTTCTGATATTAAGATTTTTCAATATTTCTATAGAGAAAATTTAATTCAGAGAAATTTTATTTGTTTTAGAGATTTTTTTTTACAATTGACACCCGTTATTTTTTTATATTGTAAACAAAAAATATTTTTAGAATTTTTTAAATTTTTTTATGAGTTTTGAATAGAATTTTGAATTGTGTGTTTGGTTATGAGTTGTAAGTTTTTTAGTCAAATATCATATGCCACATCAAAAATTCTAAACTCAATTCAAAACTCTTTTTAAAACTCAAAACAAAACAAAACAAAACAAATTTTCCACACTCAAATTATAATTTCAAAACTCACAAACTCAAAATACAACTCTATTATCAAATCATAATTTCAAAACTCTACCAAACGCTACCTTTAATTTTCATAAAAAAATTTATCTGATTTCACAGAGAAATTTTGAAATTTCTCTATAATCATACCATAGAAATTTCAAAATTTCTCTAAGTCGAGATCGAAATTTTTTTGAGTTGGGTAAAATTGCTCTGAGTTAGGTAAAATTTATCTAAATTAAATTTTCTCTGTGAAAATGTTGAGGGACTTAATCTAATAAAAAAAAATATCTTAAACCTCTTCTACTACACAAAGTTAGAGAGAGATATTTCACTATTTTTTCAAAAAATATAAGACTTGACTCTGGCAACAAAATAAAATTTTGTATTTTATTAATTTGAATCTTAATTTTTTTGATTTATTTTTAATTTAAATTATTTTTCTATTTCTGTTAAGTAAACCTGACGGAATTAGTATTTTATCAATTTAAATCACATTTGTTTGGTGGATTAAGTTGAATAAAATTGTTAGTGAGAAAATAGTTAGTGAAGAGATTGTTAATGTGAGAATTGTTAGTGAGGGGATTAAATTCTCGTTTGGTAACTATATGTTTTAATCAAAAAATTAAAAAAATATTATAAGTTGTTACATTACTCTCTACTTCTATACACATCTTTTCGTAAAAACTAAAAAAGTCACTGAGCCTCCGTTTGGGAAGTGCGTTAGCTTTTTGGCTTTTTTGAATATTTTAGCCTGGAGCTAAAAAGCTTAGTTTGGGAAGGACTTTTTGACTTTTTTGACTTTTTGACTTTTTGGTGAGGTGACTTCATGTTAAATTACAAAACTGCCCTTCTACTATTTTTTGTGGAATGGACCTCATTGCCTCTTTTGTCCTCCACGTCAGATTAGCCATGAATGGACCGATTTTTTTTTTTTTTAAATGGTTTTTTCAAGGGGTTTTTTATTTTGATTTTGATTTTTCTCACAAAAAAACTCAAAAAAGCAAAAAAACTAAAAATCTCTTCCCAAACCAAGCTTTTAAGCCCAGGCTAAAATAGCCAAAAAAGCCAAAAAGCCAAAAAGCCAACCCACTTCCCAAACGGAGGCTAAGCCTCCGTTTGAGAAGTGGGTGGGCTTTTTGGTTTTTTTGAATATTTTAGCCTGAGGCTAAAAAACCTAATTTGGGAAGGATTTTTTAACTTTTTTGACTTTTTGACTTTTTGGTGAGGTGGCTTCATGTTAAATTACAAAACTGGCCTTCTACTATTTTTTGTGGAATGGACCTCATTGCCTCTTTTGTCCTCCACGTCAGATTAGCCATGAATGGACTGATTTTTTTTTATTTTTTTTTTGTAAATGGTTTTTTCAAGGGGTTTTTTATTTTGATTTTCGTTTTGATTTTAATTTTTTTTTCATTTTCTGTAAAATGATAAAAAGTGAGGTTTTATTTTATTATCCTGTATATTTTAAAGTAAAACTCAAGTAATAAATTATTTTTAAAACTCATAGCCAAACACATAACTTTAAACTCCATACTACTTTCACAACTCTATACTCAAATCATAACCAAATACATAACAAAAAAATTTAAATATTTAAAACTATTTTTATGAAATAGAGTTTGAATTTATTTTTATAAAATATTTTAACAAAAAACAAAAAAATGTTTTTAATTTTTATTTTTTCAACTTTCTTTGTTTTTTCAAAGAAAATGTGTTTTTTGGGATTTTTTTTTTTTTTTTTTTTTTTTTTTTTTTTTTTTGGCGTTTCCATGCCCCTCTTTCAAGAGGGGTAGTTTGATAAATTTCCCTTAGCGTTTATTCTTGCCAAGCAGCTGTGGCTTTTTTTACCTAAGGCCTCGTTTGAGAACATGCTAATTTAGTAATTTTTTGGCTATTTGGCTAAAAAGGTAGGTAAAAAAAACTTGTGGGTATGTTTGGTTTGTGTTTGAGAGATGTGTTTTAGAGATAAAAAGTACGAAAAGTTGTTTGGTTTGGTTTTTTTCAAAAGATGTTTTGAAAAATTATTTTGAGAAAGAATTTTGGAAAAAGTGATTGATTTGATGTGTGTGAGAGAGAGATTTGTTTAGAAAACTTGTTTGGTTTACAAGTTTTGAGAAATTTTTTTGGGAAAATTTGTTTGGTTTGATTACTTTTAAAAACTTATTTGTAGAGAAAATTTCCAAAAAAATTTTCACAAATACAAACCAAATTTGGGATGACTTTTTGGCTAATTACGAAAAGATGTGCAAAAAGTAAAGAGAAAAGAGAATCTTTGACTTTTTTTGTATGAGTTGTTGGCTTTTTGACTAATTTAGTAACTTTTTGGTTAATTGACTAAAAAAGTTAGTCTCCAAACGGGGTTAGTGGCTAAATAAGCCTCTTTTGTCATTTAGTGGCTAATTTAGCCTCCACCAACCTTCCCAAACGATGCCTAAAATATAGTTTGTTCTTAAACGAGAATAAAAGTGTGTTTGTTTTGATGATAATGTGGGAGATTGTTAATAATGGAATTGTTAAATTATTTTTATAAAAAATAAATAAATAAAAAATATTTCTATATTAAAAAAAATAAAACAAATGTTAAAATAAACAGGTGCACTTGATAAAAAAAAAAAATTGAAAAAATAATTTTTTTTATATAAAATAGATTCAATCCACTTACTATTTTTCTAATCCTATCAAAAATTCAATCAAGCTAATCCCCCTCCTGATCCTGAGGGGGATTATTAAGCCCCTCACTGTTAATCTTTCCTCCCAAATCATCACCAAGCAAGATGCGGGTGGGACCCACACTCATACTAATCCAATTCAGCCCTACCCTGCTAAACAAACATGGCTTTAATTTATTTTTATCTAAACTATTTATTTTTCTAATTTTTTCCCAAAAAAATAAAATAATAATCAATATGTTAGTAAATTGAGTCAATTTTTTAGAAAATTGAGTTTTTTATTTATTTATTTTTATTTGTGTGTGTGTGTGTGTGTTTTTTTTTTTTTGGTGAATTTTTTAATATTTTATGCAAAATTTTTATTTTTAAATACAACCAATATAAATATGATTAAAAAATAGGGACACTTTTTCATAAATCTTTTTTCATCTACTTAAGTTCCATTTAATCCACATTATTTTTTTACATTCCAATAAATCCTATGAATGGCATAATTACTAAAATATCCTTAATAATATTTGCATTTACAGTGTGAATATTTCATGATGTGCATGTTCACACCGTCAATGTGAATGTTCACACCATTAATATGAATGTTAATATGTCAAAGTGAATGTTCACACTGTCAATGTGAATATTCACACGTCAATGTGAATATTCAAATTATAAAATATGAATGTTCACATCACCAAATTGCTAACCGTTCAAAAAATATTCTTAAAGATAGAAATGTCCATAAAATACTTTAAATATGAGAATTAAGATTTGATAGATCAAATATTCAAATAATAGGACTCATTGGAATACAACAATATTTTATGGATTAACTGGGATACAAACATTTAAAAAAAGATTTTCTAATAAATCTCCCTAAAAAATATAATATTTGTGATTTTTTTTTTTAAAAACTATCAAATGCAAAAAATACAAAAAAGATAAGAAAATTAAATATATTTTCGCATTTTGTTGTATTCAATGAATTTTTTAAAAAATTTTGTACAAATTTCTTACTTTTTAATTATATTAAAATTAAATGAATCTAAACATTAAATTTTTTTTAAAAAAATCATTAAAAATATAATCGAATTGAAAATTTAAAAAACTATTTTTAAAAATTGAAAATCAAACCGGATGAATAATTTGTTATGTTCCTAATTCAGGACCACCGCGATTCAAAGGATTTCTTATGATGGCCATCCTTTGTTCTCTTCGTGTACACTTTTAATTTTAACAATAGAAGTTAATTTAATAAAGTAATTAACTCTACTTCCTTGATTTTTTTCCTAGTAAACTCATTAGAGTCCTTTTTAAAGATTTTGTAAGTTTTTATAAATAAATTATTTTTAAAAAATTAGATTGACTCAATAATTATAGTCTATGAATTTATCACATTTATTTAAAAAAACAAAAACAAAGAAGATTTTAGAAATAAACTATGTAATTTCTTAAGAAAAAAATCTAGGCCAAAGTGTTAGTTATGCCATTTTAGTGGTAAAAAGTTAGAAATGGTGTGTGCACCTCTAAACAGAAAATTACGAACCATTACAATTGTGTTATAAATTTTTGTGTCATAAACTGTGCTATGTAAATTTAATGTTATGAATTACTGGTGGTGATAAATATTATAAATTATTTTGATGAGAAAAGTTAGATAATATTATTATAATGTGATATGATATATATGTTTTTTTTTTCAAGGGATGCATATGTATATTATAAGTAGTTCTAATAATAGTTTTACAACAATGTTTCCGATTCTCAGTATGGACAACTCCCAGCGACCCCCCAGTGCCACGTGTTGGCCTGGAGTTGGCTGGAAATAAAAAAAAAAAAAAAAAAATTTTTTTGTCCAATCACGGACGACCCCAGCACCCCCAGCTAGGGGTCTAAGTGATTTTTGATAATTCTAAGAGCTTTATCC